GTTGAGCCACGAAAGTTTCGGTGCAGACGCAGCGGAAGACCCCACCAGAAGTTGCACGAAGATTTCTGTGGCCTGACCTCGTACGGGGATTATTGTCCGTCCTCACTCCTGAAGCTGTCTGGGGAGATGTAATGCATTACCCATGGTAGTGAGGCGAGAGAATGGCCACATAGAGCAGTCGAACTCATGGTGTTGGGACTTCTGCACAAGCTTACGATTTCTGCGACGTCTTGTGTACTTGAGCAGCGTAGTTTCGTCGCGTGTCATGCGTGATCTCACATGCTTGTGTTCCTAACTTCTGCATCATTCTCTGCCGAGCTTGGCTTCTCTATGCTCTCGCCCTTGAGAACCTTCGTGCTGTTAGGGGAGAACGTAAGGTCAACGAGAGCTTCATCTACTATCCTCCGTCCGAGTTTGAGGCATTTGCTTGGAGGTCAGCCTACTTTGAGCTAAGGCCTCCGCAAAGAAAGTGGCGACCTAACGATGTTTTTGTCGATAGACTCCAGCGCCATGCTAGGGTGATTGGCGAGACCAACGAAGCGTCTGTCAGCAGAGGATGCTGCAGCTGCGTAAGCAGCGCTGAGCAAGACCAAGGCTTGAGGAAGCGGAAGTATCAGAACTTGTGGCAGCATGTCTTTGCAAGGGGTGGCAACGATACGGACGGATATGGACACAAGCCCTGAGCTTAAGTGGAAATTCTGAAGGAGTCTTACCAGTCAGTATACCAAATCAATATCTCACAACACAACCCCCAAATAACACCACGTGTCGCTCGTTGTTAGGCTGCAGAGAGCTTAGTACCTCGTACGGTGACAATCCTATCCGAACGATATGGCAATGCATGCTGTGTCTTAGTACGATCCGGTCTCCTCTTTACTGCGTACTGGAAACTTTACCCTCTTCCAGTTGGACTACCAATGATAGTCTGATACCCCTGCGGCTGCCTCGTCTCTCTTTGTACCATCTCTCCTTCATTATCTGCATCCTTCTGGCGTCACCTTTCATCTAGTGTCTCTCAAACCGCGTCGTACTTACTGTGTTGACTCTAATGTTGTTGTCTTGTGCTCTGAATGTTCGATCGATGTCACGCTCGCTAGTCCAGGTCCAAGCAGCAGTGCTGAGACTGTTGGGGAAGTACGTGTGCTGATACGTAGCATTGATTGAGCGTTTGATATTGCCGATTCCAGGGGTTGCCTGAAGCTCCATACGGCAGCGAGGGATGCAGCGGA